CGACGATCAGCAAGTAGGGTAGGTTAGGAGGCTGACTCATCCTTGTACATACTAGGTCTAGGGTTTTGTTTGTTATTAGGGTACCTGGTAGTATGCCATTTAGGAGCTTCACTCCACCGCAGTCAACGGTGCGTGAATGTGACTTTCTCCTATTCTTGACATTCTTTCATAGTGACGACTGTGGGTGTAGGATCTAGGCGAAGCTCTTGCAATAAGCTCGGGGTGGTGGCGGATCAAGCCAAGGTTGTAGACCCGTCTCTTTCTATTTGCCATCATGCTGGCAGACAAGGAAAAGACGTCACTAGCGAGAATATCCTGGGTTGTCGACAACATTTGTGTGAACTCTCATCTAGGGTTTCACTACCTCTCATCGACGCCGCTGACGGTTTGCCTCGTCGCATGTGGTCCTTGGACCATGGAGACGCGGTGGATCCCGGCCGTTGCCGGTGGGAGGGCTCCGTTTTTAGGTGCCTTTCTGGGTTTTGTTATGGTTTGTGCCATGCTCAAGAAGATGAGGCGGTGCCGGCTTCTTGAAGATGAAATAAGGTTCTCCCCGCCTAGCCCCCATCCTGGTGATGCTTCAAGCGTCGCTGGAGGGCATGTGGAGGTGTGTCCCCGGTGGATCTCGTGGGATTCGGTCGGCGCTTGTCTTCGGTGGATCCACCTAGATTCGGTCTTCGTTTGTCCACGTATGTCTGTTTGCAGGTTGGATCCTTCCAATCTACGCTTCTCTTCATCGGCGAAGGTTGTTGTTCTGTTGCGCTGGTCCTATTGGGACTTAGCACGGTGACTTCGTGACTGTCTACTACAACAATGTTTGCCACCCGCCTTCGGCTCGCTCCAGTGCTTGTAGTCATCGCTAGGTGGTCTATGGACCTGGATGTAAATTTTACTTCTAGTGTTCTTCCTACTACCATGACAGTTAATGAATAGATCGAAAGTTTTCTTGCAAAAAAAGGAAAAGACGTCAGATCTGGGCCAGAATTTGGTCTTTTGGTTGTGGCTCGCGGAGTCTGGGTCTCCGACGAAGGTGCGGGAGCAAGTGCAGTTGCTCTTACCTGATAAATTACCAACAGGTTTTTTTTGGCGAAAAGGGTCGAATCTATTATAAAGGTTTATGATAAACACATAGCACCTCAAACATAATGAGAATTACATTAAGATACTCAGACCACTAAACGACAACTACCGCCCACAGAATGGTGGAGCTACTATACTCATTGGCAACTTCGGGTTGCAGTGGTTGTTGCTCGTCTTGGTTGCACCGCCCTTGACTATTCTGGGTCAAGGGTGACCTCTCAGGGCCCCGATGTTAGGTGAGCAGCGGCTCCAGTTATTCCTCCATGTGTCTACCCATGGAGGGAGGTAGCTTGGCTTTGGCTCGGCTTTCACAACTTCTACCTTCGGCAAGTGTTGACGGTGCTGTTACGGCAATCACGGGATCCTTGATCTTATCCCCAACAATGGTGTTTTTTTTTAAAAAAGGGAGGCTGCTTCTGCATCATTGCAATGAACATATCAATTTTATTACAGTAATTATTAAGCAGAGTACAAGATGAAGGCAACCACTACAAAACCATTGCAAGATATATATATGAAATCAAACACCATTGGCCATGTCTGCCCGGTGACAGCATGGACAAGGATTTTCATCCTGGTTGCCAAGACTGGCCCCTGAAGATACACAACAGCAAGAAGATGACGCCTCCAATAAGGTAACGATACAATTTCGCCACTGCTGAACCCGACAAATAATGACCGGCCCGCTTATGAAGGCTCAACAAGGAAGGGTCACATTACAGTCTTTTGTGTAAAGTTCTTGCACCAAGATGTAATTTTTCATTCTATTGGGGTCCTTAAAGAAGCCGCTCTAGGTCCTTCGAGACCCTTTGCTAAAAATTCAAATTATGAAAGCACAAAGCTTGACCAAGATATACATGTGTTGCTTCCTTTAAACGCAACACCAAAAGAATTCCAAAAGAGACGCATGTGAACCACTACCAGTTAGGTTCAGAATGTCATTAATCGATAAAACATCTATACATGTGAAACTACATATTGGACGGCAGCGCATGTGAAGCTTAAATGGGCTGCAAAGACTGCCGCCCATTTTGCATGCACTTTAGTTTTAATATATTTCTGCTAGTAAGAAAGTTATGTTCAATTATTGTGAGTTAAAATATATTGTACATACAAACAATGATTATTAAATAAAAACATTTCAATATGAACCTGTGTAATATATAAAATATATTTAGTAAAACATAAGTATTAAAAACATATAAATAAAAATTTTAAGATAATTTTAAATATTTGTAAAACATAAGTAATAAAATAATTTTCAAACATTTGTGTGTTATAAAATATAATACATACAAACGATGATTAGTAAATAAAAGTTTTCAATATGAACCTATGTACTATATAAAAAATAGTTAATACGGAAATTGAAAATACTTATTAAATAAATATTTTTAATGAACCCAAGGAAATTAATACACCCGCGGATTATCTTTCAGTTATATTAAATGATGAGTACACACATTTAATAAATATTTATGAATATTCACGTATGTATAATTCTTATTGATAGTCAAAAAATTATACGATTTAAATATTAGACACAATTTAATATTCATTTCAACAATTTAAACTTTAAAAATTATACAAATGTGCATATAATTATTGAAATGTTCATATAATTAAATTAACATTTCTGAATTGTAACTTTAAAAATATTTTATAACTTAAATTATAAAAAATTATAATTTATAAAGTCATTTTAAAAATATGAATATTTCGAAAATAATACATGAACAATTTTTAAGTAAGTTATTTCGTTTGTATGTACAATACTTATAACACGTGAATATTTAAACGTTATTTTTATTACTGAGGTTATACTATCGATCATGGACGGCTGGTGAATTTTTCAGTTTCCATTTATTCCTTGGTTTGGCTGATGTTCACTCGAACATCACATTATAAAAATATTTTGTATGATATTGCAGCAGTTATTAGTTCATGGCCGAGTGGTTAAGAGCAACTCTAGCAGACCCCACAAAAACTTGACCCGCAAAACACCTTTGCAGTTTCA